AGCTTTTTCTACTAACCCAACTCCTTCTCTCCACCTCATTTTTCCAAATATCCTTTTGTCTCTCTTCCTAATAGCACGTGCTTCACTGCTGTCTCTTCTTCCTGTTGTAAATTTCAGACATCGATCACATGGTACCGAGTTTTCATGGGCCGCCCTTTTCATCAGCGTTCCCGCGTTAATATGACCTAGTGAATGATACCACGGTTCACCTCGTTACTCAGACCCCAAACCTCAAAATCTCTGTTGATTCTTCCCATTCTCTCTCACCCCCACCCAGATCAAAAACAAATGCTGTCATCTCTCTGTTCAGAATACGTGCCAAAAGTTGTCACTTCCTTCTGCTTCCAACATACGCACTGGCCTGCAGTGTCCACCAGAACTTGTGTGATGGTGGAGATGTCCTGCATCCATGCTCTCCGGGACAGTCGCCGTAAGCCACGTGGCTACCGACTGAGCATCTGAAACGTGGTTATGTGTGACTGAGGAACTGAATGTTTTTAATAACAGCTTTATTGCTATATAATTTACATACCATACAATTCACCTGATTTGGGGGGCGGGGTTCAAAACCACAATGCTAATGATTTTATAAGGATATTACAATGCGGCCAAGGTTACCAGAGGACGACTTGAGACCCCTTCTGTGCATGTGTCTGGCCGGGACCTCCTCTCGACCACAAGAGTGAGGGGGCTGCGTGGGCTGTGCAGTCTCTCATCCAGTGAGGGCTCATCATCCTGATAGTATTATCGTTTATCTCAAAGGGTCAGCATGAAACCAGCTGCAGCAGGTCACCCCAAAGCCTGTCTGTTTCCTACCTGACGGTGGCGCGCGCTCCATGGTTTTCATGCTGCGGAGTTTCTCGCTCAGATGCTACAAAGTTTCTGTTTTAGATGCTGTTCCTCTATGAGTCATGGCCTCGTTAAGTGCAGAACAAGGAAGTGGCTTTGCTTTTTGTCTAATGCCTATACATGAAGAGGCTGTCCTTGGGCCCCGCCCTGTCTTGCCTGCCTCACACCCATTTAAATTGTACAGTTCTATGGTTTTTAATGTATTCACGTGGTTTTGCAGCTATCGCCTTAATCAATGTTCAAGCATTTTCATCACCCCCAAAAGAAACTCCATATCTATCAGCACCCACTCTCCGTTCCCACCCAAACACCCTCAGCTCCTGCAACCGCTAATCTACTTGCTGTCTCTATAGATTTGCCTATTGTGGACATTTCACACTGGTAGAGTCGTATGATACACGGCCTTTTGTGACTGGCTCCTTTCACTTAGCGTAAGATTTTTCAAGGTTCACCCATGTCGTTGCACGTACCAGTACTTTATTCCTCTTAATAGCTCAGTATACTCCACTGTAGGGATAGTCCACGTTTTCTCCCTTGGTGGACTTCTGTGAATGATGCCGCTATCAACATTCATGTATGAGTTTTTGTGTGTTTCATTCACGATTTTATCTCTCTTGGGTGTGTACCTAGAAGTGGAATTGCTGGGTCATATGGTAACTGGGCATAACGTTGTTTGTTTGCTTTTTAATTTTATTTATTTACTTATTTATGGCTGCATTGGGTGTCTGTTGCTGTGCACGGGCTTTCTCTAGTTGCGGCGAGCGGGGGCTACTCTTCGTTGCGGTGTGCGGGCCTCTCATTGTGGTGTCTTCTCTTGTTGCGGAGCACGGGCTCTAGGCACGTGGGCTTCAGTAGTTGTGGCTCGCGGGCTCAGTAGCTGTGGCTCACGGGCTCTAGAGCACAGGCTCAGTAGTTGTGGTGCAGGCTTCAGTAGTTGTGGCACGTGGGCTCAATAGTTGTGGCTCACGGGCTCTAGAGCACAGGCTCAGTAGTTTTGGTGCAGACTTCAGTAGTTGTGGCATGTGGGCTCAGTAGTTGTGGCTCGAAGGCTCAGTAGTTGTGGCACACGAGCTCTAGAGCGTGGGCTCAGTAGTTGTGGTGCACAGGCTTAATTGCTTAGCAGCATGTGGGATCTTCCTGGACCAGGGATCGAACCCGTGTCCCCTGCATTGGCAGGCAGATTCTTAACCACTGTGCCACCAGGGAAGTCCCTAGGCATAACCTTTTGAGGAACTGCCTGACAGTTTTACACAATGGCTGCAGCATTTTCCTTTCCCACCAGCAGTGTCTGAGGGTCCTAATTTCACCACATCCTCTGCCACCTCTTGTACTATCTATCTTTTGTATCATAGCCACCCTGGTGGGTGTGAAATGATATCTCGTGGTTTTTGGTTTTGAATTTCCTTGGTGTCTAATGACGTTGAGCATCCCTTCATGTACTTGGACATCGGTACCTCTTCTTTGGAAAAATTTCTGTGCAGAGCCTTTTCCCACTTTTAAATTGTGTTGTCTTTTTACCGTTGAGCTGTAAGAGTTGTTTTTGTATTCCGGATACAGGTTCCTGATCAGATAAATATTTGCAAATATTTTCTCCATTCCGGAGGTTTGTCTTTTCACTTTCAGGATGGTGTCCTTTGAAGCACAAAAGTTTCTAATTTTGATGAAGTCTAATTGATCTACTTGTTTCTTTTGTCACGGTGCTTTTGGTGCCAAAGCTAAGAAACGATTGCCAAATCTAAGGCCATAAAGATTTAATCCTATGTTTTATCCTAGAGCTTTTTGGTTTTAGTTCTATGGTCCATTTTATGTATACAATTCAGAGGCATTACATTCAGAATGTTTACAGCCATCACCAATAATCTATTCCAAAATCTTTTCATCAACCTAAATTGAAACGCTGTACACTTGCTGCAGTAATGCCTCATTCCCCCCTCCTCCCCAATCCCTAGCCGGAACTGAATTTTTTTATTGTATTTTAATTAATTTAAATGTAAACAGCAGCTCAAGGCTACCATATTGGACCCAACTCTGCATGCCACCAGTATCATCCTCCTGGATGGATTGCTACAATCATTTCCAAACTGGAATTGCATCTGTTATTATTCTGTTCTTGGTCGTCCAGGATCTGTTCTCCCATAAAAGCTGGACTATTCCCTTAAGAATGTAACTCATACCATTTTACTCTCTGGTTTCCTGTCGTAGTTAACAGAGAAATTCGAGCTCCTCACTGTGACCTGTGTTAATTGGCCCCTTCTTACTGTCTGGGCGCTCTCCCCAGAGTCTGCAGCCAGACTGGCCTTTGTGATGGTCTTTGAACTCATCATTGCTGTCTGTATTCAGACTGTTGGCCAGTCCTCTGCCTGGAACGCTCTAGCCCAGATGTTCACTTAACTCACTCCCTTGAACTATTGCGATCTGCTCAGATGTTACCTCCTCAAAGAGATTTTTGCGGGACTCCCTGTCTAAAGTAGCAGCCCCGTCCGTCTCTATTCCATACCTCTCTATTCCATACCTTCTACGTCTTTGTGTGTTTTTGTCTTGTCTCCCTCACTGTACTGGGAGCTCCACGGAGACAGGGATCTTGTCTCCCCACTTCCCACTTTAAAGTAGGCTTTAAATAAATATTTGTCCTGTAAATAAAAGACTAATGTTACCCCTTTCACAGCTATCATCTCTGTTAGAATCAAAGCAATGGTCTCCTGTCTAATCTCAAGTGTTCCTTTATTGAGGCTTTTCTTTAAAAGTGTCGTCTTTATTATTAAAGCAATCTTAGGGCCAGTTACTAAAATGCAAACCCTTACAGTTTTGAATAGCTGTTTGCCAATATATCAACTTGTGGCCTTCTCGAGCTTAACGTAGCCTCTTCTTTACTTTTCTGATCATTGTTTTCCTTCCTTCCTTTTTAATGAAGTCCTGCCTGAGTTTTGATTCTCCCTTCACCATGTCTCCCCTAGGCTTTGAGATTAATCCTTTTGAAGTCGGTGGCCACCCTAGGATAACTGTCACGGTCCCCAGGAGCAATCCCTGGGTTTAGGCCAGTACCTAACGCAGCCCGTGATGTCACTTTGTGGGTTCATCTGTCCTTATCCACAAATTTACTTATCTAGAATTAGCAGAAAGGGCCTGCCCTGTGGCTGGATGCAGGGTCCCACCACTACCAGATTTTCCCTGTGATGGTACTTGATCCTTACGGTGTTTGCGAAACTAAAAGGATCTTGATTCTTTAATAAGAATCAGATTCTTCAACAAACAGTTGGGTAAATTGGTGAGCCCAAATATGTGTGTACAACAGCTACTGGGTTGGAAATTTGAACAGAAAAATCCCTATACACTTGGCCTGTAGGCCACAGATGAGTATAAAAGAGAATAAAAGGGGATTGGCAGTGTCACCCAAAGAAACTATTTCTGATCTTAAAACAGGCTTTGACCCCTCAGGGTAGAAACCAGACTTTTCACAGCAGGCTGACCCAAACTAGACAATTCTCGTAGAGTTCTGCCTTAGTGATTGTTATGTACGCTGTAATAGTCATCCTTACGAAGAAAACATTGGAAAGCTATAAAATTAAAGCTTCAGAATCCTAGTTGTATTGTCTAGGCATCTCTCACTGGGTGGTTTGCATTCACCCGTTTATAGACTCCAGAAGTTCACGCAGAAGTTGACAGGGAACACAAGTAGTGAATATTCTTTTCAATTCTCTGAGTTCAGTAATCATGAACTCATTTTGTTTCGTGTAGCTATCTTTTGCTGTTGGCCTATAATTCCCATTTAGCGGAAATTAAAGACGACTAGTAAATGAACACATGGAAAAGGTCTAATACTGGCACCCACAAAGACAGATTAATATGTTTTTATACTGTTCCTTTTTCTAACTGACAAAAGGGAGATTTGAATCTGTATGAAAATGTAAATTTCCACACAGATCAAGGGTTTGGTTGTTCGGTTTGTTGGAAACCTGGTTTTGTTTGTTTGCTTCACTTGGCAAAAATATAAGGTGAAGAAATGCAGAGTTAGAAAAAGGAGGCATTAGAATCACAGACAATGCAATTTTCGAAATTCCCTCAATGTCTCTAAAGTTCTGTTTTTACATTCTGAATAAAATAGATTGCAGTGCTCTGCTCTGGAGGGTAATTGTAACCTCTTTGTTTTTCAGATACTGTGTTGGCCAATGGTCATGCCACAGACTATTTATTTGTTGGAAATATCGTTTATACGGTAAGTTTACCTGTTTATTGAATCTTTCTTAGATGGCACGTGTGGGTTTCACCTCTCCCTGTATATACAGCCTTTGTCATTATGACTTATTTCACATCTTTAAACTACATATTATAGATTCCTTATCTTGCCTGGCAAAAGGAATGAAGCTACTCTTTTCTATTTCCTACTCTGTCTCCGTATTTCTGTTCGCCATTGGTGTACAGGGAGCCAAGATTTGGCAACACGTAGAGCTCAGAGTCCTTGTGAAATGCTTACCTCATATTTGAGTGAAGATTATGCAGAGTTAAGATTTCTGGACAGGTGATCAGCAGATTCCCCATTCTTCAGATGACCGTTTCACGTGTACTTGTTGGGGGCGGGGAAGAAAAACAAAACCAACACCAAGGGAAGGTGATTTCCCCCAAATCTTCCAAGCTAAGAAAAGGGCAAAGTAACTATTACTTGTGAGAAGTCAATCACTAAAATGAGGACTTTTCTTATAAGAACCTGCCTGTAATTTTCCTAAAACTGACCCCCAGAGAATTAGCTACCAAGATGGCACTTTCAAAGTCCAGACGCCCCGGAGAAACTGCCTCTGGGGAGGATTTGGGATTTCTTCTGGGAAGTGAAAATAAGTGAGGATAACGCATTTCCCAAATTCCTCTTTCTTTCACAGTATGTTGTTGTTACTGTTTGCCTGAAAGCCGGTTTGGAGACTACAGCTTGGACAAAAGTAAGTTTTCTCTAGAATTATTTCTCTACCCACTATAGATATTTTTTATGGTGTAGTATCTTTTTAAGCCCCAGGAAAACAGTAAACAATATCTAGCTGCCTTATTTTAAATTTTGCATGTAAAAATTGTGGTTTGATCTTTATCAGGGCACATTTGCAAACCAGAATTCCCTGATGATTCGTTTGCTGAGCACTTAATACAGTTCTAAGCTGTTAACAGTCAGCTCATTTCCAGTGTATATGTGCATTGTATTAAAAAAAAAATCGCACACACAAAGAAAATACAGAAAGACAGAAAGAGGAATTTTTAATTTCCATAATTTTACCACCAAGATATAGTTACTGTTAATATTTCCTGTACAACCTTCCAGACTTTGTTCTCTGTGTATATTTTTAATAAGACAACGTATTACAAAACACAGAGTCTGGGCTTCCCTTTTGGCGCAGTGGTTAAGAATCTGCCTGCCAGTGCAGGGAACATAGGTTCGATCCCTAGTCCGGGAGGATCCCACATGCTGCAGAGCAACTAAGCCCATGCGCCACAACTACTGAGCCCGTGCGCCATAACTACTGAAGCCCACACGCCTAGAGCCCGTGCTCCACAACAAGAGAAGCCACCGCACCACAATGAAGAGTAGCCCCTGCTCGCCGCAACTAGAGAAAGCCTGCACACAGGAACAAAGACCCAACGCAGCCAAAAATAAATAAATTAAAATATATATATATATATATATATATGTACTTCTACAAGGTCATAGTTCATGATTAAAGAGTATTGAGTTTTATCAATATCCCATCCCTTATTGAATCAGTCCCGAGTTTTGGACATTTTGGTTATTTCCAACTTTTGAGGATTATGGCCAATGTTTCACGTTCGTCTCTGCTGTTTAAATAGGCTTCTGATTCTGTGCTCATTAATTGGGAGTGGGGTGGGAGGTGAATGTGGAAGCAGAGAATTCGTTGAGAGACAGAGGCAATGAATCCAGGTGAGAGGGGCTAGTGGCTTAGCCTGGGACGTGAGGAGGTGGCGAGCAGTGGTCAGATTTTTTAAGCAGCTGGCAGAGGCTCATGCTGGATTAGATCATGGAGTGTGGCTGAAAAGATGTCAAGGATCATCCTTGCAAGAGGACAGAGGAGAAGAAATTCGCAACTCAGTAGATGCTTTGAGTGTTATCGCTAAGGGATATATCCATTCCACATTTTTTAAAAGTTCTTTGGAAAATGAACAAAGTCTCAAAATGATAAATAAACCCATCTTGTTCGTTTTGTCTGTCCCACGCCCTCTTACCAGAGCAATGATACCTTATTTATTCCGCTCCAAAGTGGAGTGAACACTGGCGAGGGACAGAAAGGAGCCTGGTAGCACTGTAGGATGGGTCTACAGGACGGTCAGCTGTGGTGGAAAAAGCACTTTCCTCTTCAGGATAGTTTGGGGCCACTAGTCACTTAAACCCTCAACCGGTGTCTAGTAGAAATCTTTCCATAAAGAAAGGTGGCGTGGACCCAGGGCTGCTGCCGTGGCTGGTGCAGGTGGCTACTGGCTCAGCAGAGAACCCTGCCTGAGTGTCTGTTTTCTCCTGTAGTTCAGTCACCTGGCCGTCTGGGGAAGCATGCTCATCTGGTTGGTGTTTTTTGGCATCTACTCAACCATCTGGCCCACCATTCCCATCGCTCCAGATATGAAAGGACAGGTCAGTGCTATTAACTGTGGGCTTTCCCTGTCTCAGGACAGGTTGGTGTTGCCAGCTTCCGTCAAAATGTATCAGGTGGGAAACAAACCAAATCGAAGCCCCTGGAAGAGGTTGTCCAGGCCACAGAAATAGCCTTGGAAATTTTAACTGTTACATAAACTGTCGACTTAATGACCTACCCGCGTCCCCATTTCCTTAATGAATTGCGTGTTAATTACAGGTCTCGTGTACAGTTCACTGGACTTGGAAAACAGGAGATGTTTGGGGTCATTCATAACCCCATGATTACGCTGATTGTGGTTTCCATGTTGGGTATTATTATACTTTGATTAGGTGAGAATTAGTCACCTGTGAAGGATAGATCTAACCACTCTACTAACCAGATCATTAATTAAGCAGAATATCTCACTGTTCATCTCTTAACTGGAGAGGTGGAGGTTGAAGACCTTTATGCTAAAATCTAAAATCCTTTAGATTTTATTTTTTTCGTCTTTTATATTATCTTTGTCTAGTGTTTGAGATGGAGCCATCTCCACTGACACCCTGGATCTTAGGATCCCACAGGATCGGGTCTGAAGAGGACCTTGAAAGCCCTGGGTTCCAAATGCCCTCAGTTTGCAAATGAAGCTGTAAATTTTGTTTTACTGGGAAATTTTTCAGGGTTTACAAAAGAATATGTGATTGGTAGTAAGGGACACAGAATGTTTATGAAGACATTGCATTTTCTTTTTTCTTTACATCTGAAGTCCTTTGGAGGTCTCTGCGCTGGTGGTCCCTGGCTGGGCGTGTCCCTTTTCACAGGGCAGGCAGTCGTGGGGCGAGGGCAGCATCCCGACTCTAGTGCATTCCCCGGGTTCCCAGGACCCCGAGTCTTCCAAATGGCCAGAAGCCTACTCACCAGGCCTGCCTGGTTCTCTCCCCGGATCCAGGCCCGGAGCGCACCCTTGGGCCCAAGGACAGCTTACTTTGTAGGGGGGTGATGTGTGCTGGGTCCACTGGAGGATTGCTCTGGGACACCCACCCACGTTTGCATGAGGACGCTTGTACCGTGAGTCAGAACCAATGTGGGAAGAGAAGGACTGTGGGTTGGGGGCTCCTGCTGGTTCCTGCCCCAGGACTACATATTTTAGGAGCAGGCCTGTGCATGGCACATCAGGCCACCATCTTTGCCTCACTTACTCTGCAGAAATGAGCCCAAACTCTGGGCCTTCCCAAGTCTAGATACATGCCCAGCAGCTGTTCCACGTGAGGTCATACTGGGTGGGCTGCATCCACGGAGGGATGCTCTAGTGACCCCTCTGTGTACGCCGGCACCAGGGACTCCAGTTCAGACATTAAGATGGTCACCAGCCCGTCAGGAGGTTGACTTTTGAAGTGTGGAGGGACCATCTACCATGTAGTCACTGACACGCCACGTTTTCAGTGTCCGGGTTGCATGCCCGTATGGTTTGCAGGCTCAGCATAAATGGTGAAATTTCCATAGCTGGGGACTTCCCGAAAAAATCGAATGAGCTATTCCTACCATCCAAAAGCAAAGAAACTGTAGTATTAAATCACATTTCACTTGGGTATAAAAAGATTTTTTTTTAACATAAACCACGTCGTTTCAGCGTTTTGGTTGGTTGGTCTGTTTCCATGAGGCAGACGATGTTGCTTTGAAATCAGCCATCGCTGGCTGAGACTGAGGTTTTCATTAGACATGGAAGGAGATATTACTGTAATTTTCACATTCCGGGGCGGCCGGGTGGGTAATCCGCTGTCTGTGTTGAAAGAGCTCTTTCTTTTCTCTCATCTTGCTCCAGGATGGAGCTCTCAGTGGAGACAGGGTATCAGAAAACAATGTCAAGGCCAACTTTAATGCTCCTTCACCCTGTGTCTGCCGCCATCATTCTCTGAAAAGTGGTAGGGAAGTCTTTTTTTAATTTTTTTTTTTTTTTAACACTTACGAAGAATCACTTGGGTGGAGAGTGGCTAAACAAGCCTGAAATCTCAGACAGGCTTTCTGCTGTCTCCAGAGGGGTGATGTACTGTCATAAAGAAAGAGGGGCAGTCAGTGACAGGAGGCAGCTCCTTTGGGGGAAGTTGAAAATATGGCGGAGCCATGTACATCCCTTTCGTTCTGGGCTGGGGCTGTGGACTAAATGCTTGTGTTCCCCTCAACTTCATGTTGAAGGCCTGACCTCAGCCTCCAGCATGGAGGTAGGGCCTTTGGGAGGCATTAGTGATCTGATGAGAAGAGGCCCGAGAGCCAGTTCACTCGTCCTCTGCAGCGTGAAGATACAAGAATCTGAAAATATATGTACATGCGCACACATGTAACTGAATCACTTCGCTGTACACCTGAAACTAACACAGTATCGTAATTCACCTATGCTTCAATTTTTAAAAAACGCTTGACAGAAACAGCAGGAAAAAAAAAAAAAAGATGCAAGAAGTTACACGTCTGCAACCCAGAAGAGGGTCTTCACCAGAACCCAGGCAGGCTGGCACCCTGATCTCAGACATCCAGCCTCCAAACCTGGGGAGAAATAAATTTCTGCTGTCGATAAAGCCACCCGCTTTGTGGTATTTTGTTTCAGCAGCCCAAGCTGACGAAGACGGTTGGTGAATGCTTAGGGGTGATGGTATTCTGGGAAAAGGCTGCTTTTTAAAAATTAGTGTTGTTATTATTATAAGAATGTTTCTAGTGACTTTTATAAACCATTTTCTTGTCGTTCATGAAGCAGTAGGGTTTTGGCAAAGGAACATGGTTCTTTTGAGCTGTAGAATTAAACTAGTGTCTGGTGGCAAACGGCATTTCTCACTTAGGAGCCGGAGATAGACCTCACACAAAATGTTCTGTCTCTTCGTAGCATCCTAAACTGTTGAAAAGAAACATCGTTTCTGCTGGGGTTTCCTAAACCAATTCGATTGACTATTTCTTTGTCTTGTCCACGATATGTGGAGTTTTTCTCATGAGGAAAAGGCAGGTTTTGCCCTGAGTGCAAAGGGAGGGAGGGCTGTAGTGTGGGGGGGATTTTCCACTATCAAAGCACCTTCATCTTCCCTGAAGCACCTCACAGTGTGGTCCATGAAAGCCAACCAGTGCGTCAGGAAGTCCCAGTGGAAATTTCTCGAATCAAAAGAGTCCTTTGGGGCTTCCCTGGTGGCACAGTGGTTAAGAATCCACCTGCCAATGCAGGGGACACGGGTTCGAGCCCTGGTCCGGGAAGATCCCACACGCCACGGAGCAACTAAGCGCGTGCGCCACAACTACTGAGCCTGAGCGCTAGATCCCGTGAGCCACAACTACTGAGCCCGCGAGCCACAACTACTGAAGCCCGCATGCCTAGAGCCCGTGCTCCGCAACAAGAGAAGCCACCGCAGTGAGAAGCCCACGGGCAGCAACGAAGACCCAACACAGCCAAAAATAAAGACAAACAAATTAATTAATTAATTTAAAAAATAAAATAAAAGAGTCCTCTGTATCCTTCCTCTCCTGAGAACAGTCAGCATTTGTGGGATCTTAAGGGGGCACCCTGTTTTTCCATTTTCCTAGGCCCACAGTGAATTCACCTAAAGTGAATTAGAAACTTAGAAACTCCGGTTATGTCTGTCCTGGGTGATGCCACAGCCCTCAGCTGGGGAAAAATATGTGATGAGGTTTTTCCATACGGGACCGTGTGTTTTCCTTTCTGCCAGTATCGTAACCATGGGTTATGTAAGCTTCTCCATGATGGGTCCCCATAGCCAAGGCCTGTGGGTGGAAAACTATCAACGTTCTTTAGCGCAGAGTTGCCTGCTGAAGTAGGGTTTTGAATTAGAGAGGTGAGGAAAACTTGATCTACACCTGGATCAGGAAATGGGCTTTTATTTTCTTCATGTATTTCTCAAGGCTTACTACTCTGGGGGTCTCTGAGGGTGTGCCTCTTATTTGACCTTTGTTTAAAAGTCAAGAGACTTGCCGCAACTAACTTTGGAGCCTGTGGTAATCACTTAACCTGCTTTATTTCCTTATCAGCAAAGTCAGAATACTATTACCCGACCTAGTTATCTCAGAGGACTATGGTGGAGATATAATAGGAGTACCTGTGGGAATGAATAGTAAGACATGCCTGTTCTTCTTTATCTTGCAGTGATAAATTATTTTCTTGAGCCTTTATAAATAGGAATATTGTGACTTAAACTCCCATTTCTTTTGGCTAAAGAATTTCAACATTTTATAGGTTCTTTTTTTTTTCTTTTTGATTTGTTGTTGTTGTTTGTTTTATTTATTTATTTTTTTTTTTGCGGTACGCGGGCCTCTCACTGTTGTGGCCTCTCCCGTTGCGGAGCACAGGCTCCGGACACGCAGGCTCAGCGGCCATGGCTCACGGGCCCAGCCGCTCCGTGGCATAGTGGGATCCTCCCGGACCGGGGCACGAACCCACATCCCCTGCATCGGCAGGCGGACTCTCAACCACTGCGCCACCAGGGAAGCCCTGTTTGTTTTATTTTTAACATTTTACAGGTTCTTGATGTGAAGTTTCTTAGTAGGGTCCACTGACCACCTACATCTGAATCACCTGGGCTGCTTGTTAAAATGACAACCTCCTTCCCCACCAAAAAAAAAATATGTACTTGAAACACACATACACACACACACACACACACACACACACACACACACACTCAGAATCCCTGCACCTGGAGCCCCAGCCTCTGAATTTTGATAAGTCTCCAGACTATTCTTCCACTTAAAGTTAGAGAGCCCCTGCTCACAACACCTAAAATATGACCCCATGACAATGTTCAAGCCAGTGCTGGGGGTTCCAGGAGAAGACAGCATCTTTAAATGTCCACCAGGGCCCTGTTTCTCTGAGCAGTGGGTCTGTGAGGGCCGGCAGGTGGTGTGGTGTCAGCTGTAAGGCCCCGGTTTTCTAAATAGAGGATTATACCCGAGGACGTTACATCGTTCGCCACGGAAAAATACTCCTCACCAACTCCAATGCTTTTCTTTTAAAGTTCTTTTCATGGCTAGT